CCACGTGGGGAACTAAGGGACGGGACAGCCACGGCGGCCACAGAGGGGGCGGAGCAGAGACCACCACGTAGGAGCCAAGCTCAGCGCGCCGGGGTCTGGGAGGTCTTCCTCTGCGCCGGCCTCCCCTCCGACCCAGGCAGAGCTGGCCCCCCAGTGTGTCCATCATGGCTGCCCAACGTGCCCATGTCTTCCCACAAGCTCGCTCCGTAGCCAGGGCAAGGGGAGGTCTGTGTGCCGTCTGTGACTATACACCAGCAGATGGTTCTCCCCACCTGCCAGAGCCCAAGGGGTGCCTGACCTGCTATTCCCTGCCTCTGCCCACACTGGACCCCCCAATAGTCACAAGTCGCTCAGACACCGCTGGCCCCGCCACGGCCCCGAGACCCACACTCCGGCCAGATGCTGCTGGTGCGCCCCGCCTAGGCGTCTCACTGAGCCAGGCACAGGAGCACAGCTGGGCGGATAGCCCGACGCCTCCCTCCAGGCCCAGCCAGAACCTGAGTCCCACAGGCACACTGCCAGCTATCCTCCGTGTCCACACTGCCCAGGGCGTAGAGCAGCAAAGAGGGCCGCTTCTGGCCAGTCCCCACCCCGGGCGAGTCAGGGGAGGGAGTGTGTGTGCCAGACAGATAGCCAGGCTCAAGGTGGCAGGGCCTGGGAGGAGGGACGCAGAGTGGACCCGCTGGGGTAGGGGCTGCCTAGGGGGAGGGGTGCAGAGTGGACCCACTGGGGTGGGGGTGCCTGGGGGGAGAGATGGGGAGTGGACCTGCCAGGGTTGGGGGACGGGTGCAGAGTGGAGCTGCTGGGGTGGGGGCCCACTCTGGGGGGTGGGGGTGGCGCAGGGGGCCTCACCAACACAGGCGTCCTGCTCGCGGGCCCAGCCAACCTCGCACTCGGCACAGTCCCTGCTGGTGGGGCCAGTGCACGTCTTGCAGGCCTCGTTACAGACTGTAACAAAGGCGCAGCGGGTGAGGGCGGCCCTCCGTCGGAGGCAAGGCCCATCCGCGGGTACAAGCACAGATGCCAGTATGAGCGTAGAAGTTGGAAAATTAGATTCAGTGTGTAAAAACAAAAAATAAGTTAACAGAAACACCCAGAAAAGCAAGCTCAATCCAGCAACAGGAAAACCTAGCCACGGGATCCCGCGTGGTCATGGGCTGGGGGCAAACAGCACGGGGGGCCTCCCTCCCGGCCTCCTGGCCCCCAAGCGCCCGCTGGGCCGTACCCGTGCAGATGTTGTGCGTGTCGTTCTGCAGTGCGCTGAAGTAGCCGTCCACGCAGTCCGTGCACAGCGCCCCGCGGTAGCCCATGTGGCACTGGCAGGACCCATCCCCCTGCCGGCTGCCGTCCCCGCTGCAGTGGCCATTCCCACCGCAGGGCCTCTTGGCACCGCCTGGGCACGCTGCAGAGGGAGATACGGACTCCTCACCCACCACACTCACTGCCAAGCCACCACCACCCCCTTGCTAACCCAGCCCCAGGTTCCCGGAACAGGCGATGTTCCTGTCAGAGCAGACAGGCCTGCAGGGTTGGCAAGGAGGCTTGGAGAGGCCTGACTCCTGGGGTCTGCAGGCCCAATGCCCAATCATCCACGTGGGGTGACAGACATGTGCACCCCGGCAGCTCCAGGCTTCGGGAAGCCTCCCTTTCCTCCCTGAACAGGCTGCGAGGACACTTTGATGTCAAGTGTGCGGGACAGAATGTGTGTCGCCACGTCTAACCCCCCACGTGGGGAGTGAGGGGCAGCAGGAGGCGGCCACGGGAGGCGAGAGGGTATCTGAGCTCAAAAATGAAACGACACTTTGTCCAGACTGATGAGCGTGACTGACTTCCATAATAACCCAAGGTAAACGGTGGCGTGTGTCCACGCACGCTTCTTCACAGCTCATACTTAACCCGCTGCAGTTCCTAGATGGAATCTGCACGGCTTGACAGCCGCCCAGCCACTCCACATGGTCACTGCTGCTGTGGTGGCGCTGGGAGCAGACAGCCAGGGCTTGAGTGCCTTTGCCTGACAGGGCAGCTCCCAGTGGGTCTCGCAGGCCAAGCCCACAGGACTCCCGCGGGTCTGTGACCCTGGATTAAAAGCACAGCTGGGTTGGACACTCAGCTTGACAACCCACAGGAAAATTTCCCCGAAGAGTAAAACCAGAGGTGATGATGCCACTCTTGGTGCCCTGTGTCCTCTGCGCCTGCGGCCCCCACCCTATCAGAGGGAGAAGGGGTCTCAGCCCCTCACCGTGCCTTGTTTGTTTGCTTACAGAGCGCAGGCACCAAGTCGTCTTCCTTTCCATGCCTTCCTCCTACTGCCGGCCTCAGGCTGGTCACAGCAAACCAGCACACATCTCTGTTGTTTGTTTGCTTACAGAGTGCAGGCACCAAGTTCTCTAATTCATATGTGTCTTGTGGGAGTCACAAAACCCACTGGGAGAAGGATACCAGTTCCCCCACACCAGATCTCTCCCCGGGCCAGGAAACGTGCCAGAGATACCTGGGGGCTGAGAGGCCCTGAGATTCCCCGAGAAGAAGCATACCCAGACAGTTAGGCCCGTACGTCCCGGGAGAACAGCAGACCTTCAGCATCTCCACGCAGAACCACTCAAACAGGTCCGGAGACTGCTTCTTCCTACGGAACCGAAAAGCATCCATCAAGTCTCGCTGACACGGCAGACGTCTTAAAAACAAACATGGGGTTTAATCCAACGTGCTCTCGAGCATTACAAAGCCTGGGAAATGGCACTCTAGGTTGGCGTGAGTGGAATCTCCTAGAACCTTGCTGGTTTGGTGAAGTCAACAAAATCATCCTCACGGTGGAAACGGCCGAGCGCTGACCCTGGATCCCCCGCCCGTTACCAGGGCACGACCTGACCCGCCATCTTGCTAAGATGACTACAGGCCACGAGTCTTCAAAGAGGCTGAGGTCCCAAGGAACAAAGGAAGCCAGAGGAACTGCCCTGACCTGAGGGGACAAAAGAGACAGACAGCTCCCAGGACAGCAGGGCCTGGCGGGTCCCACACTAGAATGAGGGTCCCACAGGGCAGCTGGTGAACTGTGGAGAGGTCTGCAGAGTACCAGTTAACTGCATGTGACAGCCTCCTTCCTTGTCTTGATAACTGCACCATGGTGACGCCAAGACTGGCATACGGGGCGCGTGGGAGACAGTGCATGGGAGCTATGTACTGACAGGTGTGTGTCTCAGGGCGTGTGCGAGACAGTACATGGGAACTGTGTACTCACGGGTGTGTGTCTCGGGGCGTGTGGGAGACAGTACATGGGAGCTGTGTACTAATGGGTGTGTGTCTCGGGGCGTGTGGGAGACAGTACATGGGAGCTGTGTACGGACAGGTGTGTATCTTGGGGCGCATGGGAGACAGTACATGGGAGCTGTGTACTGACAGGTGTGTATCTAACTCTAGCACATTCCAAAACAAGGAGTGTCACCCATGACAGCTCCAGGATCCTCCGCAGGAACTCACAGCCGCAGCCACCAGGCCTCCAGGAGCTCCTCCTGCTCCTCCACCATACGGTTGCACTCGAAGTCACTGCTGTCACACAGGCCCTCGAGGATCTCCAGCAGGCGGACCTCACTGAAACACAGGTCCCTCGGGGTGAGCTTGTCACGTGGTCACAGATATATCCCAAGAACCCCAGTGGGCAGGGAGCTGGGGCCACGGCAGCCAGCGATATTCTGAGACTAGGGAGACCCCCTGTCCTGATGGAGGGGGATCCCCTGGTAACAGGGAGCCAGCTGTGCAGGGGTGCTAGGGGCCAGGCCAGCAAGACTGCAGCCCTGGAGCTGATGGGGGCCCACCGGCAGAGGCCCAGAAGGGTGCAAGGATGGTGTTCCAGGCAGAGGAGCCCGGGAGGGTGGCCTGCCACCCGAGGTCATCTGTAAAGCCCACCCCAGCTGTGTGGGGAAGCCGTGTGGTGGGGGATGCTAGAGCAGGTAGCAGTTGCAGGGACCCGTGTTGGTTGCCCACAGCTGTGGAGCGCTCACAGGAACTCCTCAGGTGTCACAGGCAGGCGCTGGGCGCCAACCACAGGCTCTGGGGCAACATGGGCGCAGGGGCCACGCAGAAGGGGCGCCCACCTGAACTCATACTTGGAGAGCGACTTTTCCTCCCAGGCGGTGTTCCCGCCGCCAAAGTTCTTCTTCGCCGTATCCACCATTCCCTGCAGGACAAGGGCCCCAGGCATCGGACACCTCACAGGGGATGGCCTTGACCCTGTCCCCCGGTCCCTGGCCCCCCGCCACCCACGGGATCCCCATCGCGAGGGTGACCCCGGCCCCCGGGGCCCATAGCGGGGTGACCCTGTTCCCCCAGAACTCCCTGGGATCCCATCGCGGGGTGACCTCGGCCCCTAGGTCTCCATCGCGGGGTGTGGCCCCGGCCCCTATTGCGGGGTGTGACTCCGCCCCCGTCCCACCTGCTTGAACTTCTCCACCAGCTCCCTGCACCGCGTACAGGGCGTCGGCTTTTTGGCCGCCTCAGGCGCAGGCAACAGCGGCAGCAGTAGCAGTAGGAGCCCCAGCGCGGCAGGGGGCGGAGGGCGCATGGCTCTGCGGGGCCCAGAGGCGCGTGGCTCGCCGAAACCCCGGCCCGGCCAGGCCACCGGCTCCGAGCCGCGCCGGCCGTTCCCGGGGCTACTTCACGGCGCCGGCGAGGCCCCGCCCAGCCACCAGGGCGCGCGCCGCAATTGGCCGGCGGTTTCCGCCCGTCCTCACGTGGCCCAATCTGAATTCGCCACGAGAAGAGGCCAATGGGAAGGCCCCGGGTCAGCGCCCTGCCGTAAGGGGGCGGGCGGAGGGCGGAGAAACCAGAGCCCGCCCCTCGCGCCCCGCCCCCGGGCTGCACCCCCCCCCCCCGGGCCCCCCCCCCCCCCCCGGCGGCCATCTTTACTCCGGGCAGGGCGCGCGCTCACCGAGACGACTGCTGGGGCTTTAGGTGGCCATGTTGGGTTTGGGCAAGGGCTTCGCCTGTGTTCTGTTTCCGCCGTCCCGCTTCCGGCCGAGGGCGACCTGACGGCTGCTCTCCGAGGGACGGCGCCGGGGGACGGCGAGAGTCGAGCGGTGAGGTCAGCGCGCTTCCGGGCCGGGGCTTCCGGGCTCCCGGGGCGGTGGGCGGCGAGGCTGGGGCTCCCGGAGCGGGCGGAGACCCCATCCCGCTAGCCCACGCGTGACGGCCGGAGCCAGGATAGGGGCGCCAGGTCGCGGCCACCCAACTGCTGACGCGGAGATCTTGGTCCCCGCCCCGGCTCCCAGGCTGTCACCCGGGGGCCGGGCCAGGACTCTCACCTGGGTGCTAGGTCGATGACCCGGGGCCTGGGCTCTCACGAGGGGCCGGACTCCTCACCTGGGGACCTGCCGTGGCCGAGGGGCTAGGATTCTCACTGGGGGCCGGGCTGATGACCTGGGGTCGGGCCTGTCACCTGGGAGCCAGGCTCCTCACATGGAGACCTTGCCCGCTCACTATCGTGGGCCCAGGAATCTGCATTTCTCCACCTGCCCGAGGCGATTCGTACCCTCCAAACTTGGGGGACCACTGGCTTAATTACCCGTTTGTGAGGATTCTAGACAACTGTGAGGCAGGAAATCACTGCAAAGGAGAGAAGTGCAGAGAGTACAAAACCACACCTGCTCTGTGGCCAGCAGCTAGCCTGATTAACACCAGACCATCTGTGGGCTGCCGAAAGAACGGACAGATCTGTGTTGGAAAAGGTACAACCAGAATGCTCCTTAGACGCAAGGATGACGAGACTTTATCTCACATACTTTGAGCACGTTATCAGGAGGAATTGGTCCCTGGAGAAGGACTTTATTCTCCGTAAAGTCAAGGGTCAATGAAAAAGAAGACGACCTTCAAAGAGATGGACTGACGCGCAGTGGCTGCAACAACGGGCTCAAGCCTAACAACGATTGTGAGGATGGTGCAGGACCGGGCAGTGTGTCGTTCCGTTGTACACGGGGTCGCTGTGAGTCGACGCCATGTGTGCAGAGCAGAACTGCTCCCTAGGGTTTTCAGTAAAAGTCTGTGACCTCCTAAAAGCAGGTCACCAGGCCTGTCTTCCAAGGAGCCTCTGGGTGGGCTCGAACCACCAGCCTTTTGTCTAGTAGTCGAGTGCTTAGCTGTTTGCATCACCGAGGGCCTTGGAACCAACCCACGGCCGCTGACAACAACAATGGCGTCTCCAGCCAAGGGAGGAGCAGTGACTTTAGTGTTGCACTTGACCAGTTTCATGAAAAGCCTCAGGATGGCATCGATTCGGTCTTTGTGGGTGATTTCCTACCCTGGGTGCCCTGGTGCCATCAAGCGGGTGCCATCAACCTGTTACATCAACCCGGTACCTGGGCCTGTTGTAACCTGTGATGCACCCCAGGCTGGTGCCCACTGCTTCTGTAAGCTGAGCAGCTGCTGGGCAGGGGTGGACCCAGTGCAGAGAAATGTTTCCCTCACCCTGGCCCTCCCTCTTGGGGTGGACCGTGGTTTTTGTACTTGGCTTCTGTCCTGTTCTGGAGTCCCTGGGTGGTGCAGTTGACGTGCTCGGCTACTCACTGAAAGGTTGGTGGTTCGAGTTCACCCAGAGGCGCCTCAGAAGAAAGGCCTGGCAACCAACTTCCCAAAAATCAGCCATTGAAAACCCTATGGAGCATAGTTCTACTCTTGACACACACACGGGGCCGCCATGAGTTGGAGTCGACGCTGCGGCAGGAGCTGTGTCCCGTCTGCTGTTTGAGGTCCTGGCTGAGCAGGTGCTCCCAACACCTTTCAGACTAAGCTGCTTGTTGCCACTGGTTTTCTGCCCCTGGTCATCCGCAGAAGGTGCACCCTTTCCTGGGCGAGAGGGCGCTCCTGGGCCTGCAGGCCTCCTGCCAGAGTGACTCACATGGCTGATTAAAGTGATGAGTCTCTGCACATACGCTCGTGCAGTAAGGGGGGGCTGCCCTTCGTGGGGGGCCGCGGGGCCAGGCGTGTTCCTGGGTGGCCGTTGTGAGGAGCCTGTTTCGGGGTTTGCTCCATCGGCTTGGCCACGTTGGTGCAGCCTGTGTCTTTAAACGTGTTTTCAATGACATCAGCGGTTGTTTTTTTCAAGAAACAAAGTGTAATGTCTGGATGCCCCGTAATCTTCTTTGCTTTCCTGGAAATTAAGACGGTGGCACGTTTTTCGTGAAAACCTAGGCTGGGTGATGAGATCCGAATCTCTTCGTGCAGCGTGCTGAGCACCGACGAGGGCCAGGCTCTGCTGAAACAGCAGCAGGTCGGGTGTGCAGGTGCTGCCCAGGATCGGATCCCAGGAGGGAGACACCAAGCCCATCGTCATCCACCCATCTGAGCACCGGCGGTGCAGACAGACGGACAGACAGACGCACTGTCAGGGAGCTGACCTTGTAGAAGGGGGAGGCAGATGGATGACCGAAGAGATAAAGACAGAAAACAGGAGGTGCTGGGAGGCGGGCGGGGAAGGCGTCTGATGAGGTGACCTGAGAAAGTTCTGAAGGAGAGAAAGGACGAGCTTGGGGACAGGAGGGCAGGCAAGACCACGCCAGGACTCCAGCTGCTGCTGTGAGAGAGGTGGGGCCCCCGCCGCTTTCGGGGCAGGAGGAGCCTCCAGCCTGACCCTTCTAAAATCCTGTAACTGCAGGCTTCCAGACGAGTTCCTTCTCGTTAACTTCTCGCACTGGGTGTCCGCGGAGGCCATGGGTTGGAGGCTGCGAGTCAGTAGGAACGTGTTGGGAGGGGCTGCTGGGGTCTGTGGGGTCACCTCCCTCATCCACTGGGCGGTGTGTCGTTCCCACCCCGTACTCTGCCCTCTTTGTTGGGTATGAAGTTTTCCTGCTTGGAAAAGGAAAACACAATCTTATTCCTAACAGTCACTGTGTCTTATTCCAGCAGTGGTAAGACTATTGAGGCCCTTTTCCTTTCCTCCCTCCCCGCCTCTCTCAGTGAGCACCACGTCGGTGAGCCCCGTGTTGGTGGGCACCACGTCGGTGAGCCCCGTGTCGGTGAGCCCCATGTCAGACACGCCCAGGTCTGCTGACTCTCCTCCCAGATTTAGCGTCTCAGGGCTGCCCAGTGCCTGCGCGAGGCCCTGCAGCTGAAGTCTTCCTTCCCAGAGAACTGGTTAAGCACAAAAGGCTTCTCAAGCATGAGTTTTGTTTTGTTTTGTTTTTAAGTTTATTGTGACATACTCTCAGCTTTACAAAAAAATTAGATGGTCGTTTGCCCTTCAGCCTGATTTCTGGAACTTGGGACTTCAGGTTCTTTCTTTTAAAACATCTGATGGGCCATATGCTGATGGTTGGATCTCGCACCTTTGGGTCTTTAAGGTACATGAAGCCTAAACCCCAGAATGGCTGGGAGGAGGCCGCCGGGCCGACAGGGCCTGCTGCTGGGGCTGCTGGTGGTGGTGGCCGCTGTCCACCTGGTCACCTGCCCCTACACCAAGGTGGAGGAGAGCTTCAACCTGCAGGCCGTGCATGACCTGCTGTACCACTGGCTTGACCTGGACAAGGTGAGAGCCCTGCCACCTCCTGGTGGATCCTGCTGGGGTGGGCCTGTCGCCTGCGGGCGTCTGTGTCACGTGTTCCTGCCTCCGCAGTACGACCATCACGAGTTCCCCGGCGTTGTCCCCAGGACGTTCCTCGGGCCCATCGTCATTGCTGCCTTCTCCAGCCCTGCGGTTTACCTGCTGTCTCTGCTGGAAGTGTCCAAGTTCTACTCTCAGCTCATAGGTAAGCAGATCTTTGTGCGTGGACCCACTCGGCTACAGTGACGACATCCCATTGTGGGGGTCCCCTCACTGGAGGTGTCTACTGTCTCAACTCGCGGCTGCCCCCGGCCCATCACGTGGGGGTGCAGGCTGCGGCTGGCGGGCAGTCCGCCTCCCTGGCGTGTGACCCGGGGCGCAGGCTGCGGCTGGCGGGCAGTCCGCCTCCCTGGCGTGTGACCCGGGGCGCAGGCTGCGGCTGGCGGGCAGTCTGCCTCCCTGGCATGTGGCCTGGGATACTGCCAATCCCCCCCGTGACTTGCTGTCCATGAGATGGGGGATGGGGCTTCCTCACAGGGCTGTAATGGGAGGACGCAAGCGCTGTGTGCACCTCTCGGCACCTCACTCAGATGGGGGTGTCCCCGTCCTCCAGCCAGTGCTGCTCTCCAGCCGCTGTCCGGGGGCCTGTCAGTCACACACTCTCTGTTGTCATAAAAAAGTGCGTCTGCCTCGGGGCCTTGAAGACAAAACCACCAGCCGCCGCCACCCAGGGGCCCCCCGTTCCACCTTCACGCACATCCTCCTGGGTCTTTCCTTGAGCCTTCATGGGGACGTTTTTAACCAAATTTAGAACATTCTGTCAATACCGTTCTGCATCAAATACCCAGACCGTGTTCACATTTCCCCCACTGACTCAAAAACGTCCTCAGCTGCTTTGCCTGACTCGTGTGGGGAGCTCGAAAAAGCAGTTCCTGGGGAGGAAGCAGTTCTTGGAAGGGGAGGCTCCCAGAAAAACAAAATGCATTGCCGTGGAGTCGATCGTGATGCATTGCGATCTCATAAGATGCCCCGTGCTGTTTCCAAGGAGCAGCTGGTGGATCTGAACTGCTGACCTTTCGGTTAGCAGCCAAGCTCTTAATCACTGTGCCACCAGGGCTCCACTGAGTCAGAGAGCCCGGGCGGGAGGCAGGGGGTCCCGTCCAGAAAGGCAGACCCACCGAGGGTGCAGGAAGCTGAGGCACGGAGCGTAAGGTGCGTGCACACCTGCCCGGGGGCGGGGCGGGGCGGAGGCCCGCTGCCGCTCCCTCTCCTGCAGCCCCAGGTGGGCCTGTGCCCCTGTGCCACCCGCCGGAGGTGAGATGAGGACTTGGGGGCTCCGGAGGGCGCACGGTGCGGGCTCTTCCCCGAGTGTCGCTGCTTGGGGCGCCAGGCCGGGCGGTGGGTCTCTGGCGTGGGCCGTATGGACAGTGCCTGTGCTCCCGGCTGTCCAGAGGGCGGGGCGGTGGTGGGGCCTCGGGCCAGGTGCAGGCGGTCCGCTCCCCACTCTGCCCGGTAGTCACGAGAGGACACGGGGCGTGACCGTCCCTTGTCACTAACGTCCTGTTGTCACTGACGTCCCGCCCCAGCCCTGTGGCCCCCACTCCTCCGTGTTGTGTGTTTGCGCAGTCAGGGGGACCCTCGGGCTCGGCGTCATCGCTGCCCTCTGGACCCTGCAGCAGGAAGTGCGGAGGCAGTTTGGGGCTACAGTTGCCACGTTGTTCTGTTGGGTGACAGCCACGCAGTTCCACCTGATGTTCTACTGCACGCGGACGCTGCCCAATGTGGTGGCCCTGCCTGTGGGTATGTCGTGCCCTTAGCCCGGGCCTGGCCTCCCCGTGACGCGGCTCCGTCCTCTCACACTCTACCCGGGGTGTGGCCCCAGCGCTGGGCTGTGATGCCCTGTCAGCAGGGGCCTCGGGGGCACTGTGTGCGGAGGAGGGTGCTGGGGGGCTGGGCACCACGGGAGTGGGGGCGGGGGGCAGGAGCAGAATATGACGGCCAACAGCACACGGGGACCCCAGAAGCAGCAAGAGGCCAGTAAGGGGGTGGGGGGGAGGGCGTGGGGGTGGGGGCTGGTCGGTCCTCACCGTGTCTGGGTGGGGGCCTGCGGTGTCCAGGCGAGAGGTGACAGTGGCTGGGACTTGGGGTGTGGCAGAGGCCGCAAGTGTAGGCAGCGGGGCAGCGGGTTCCGGGGTGACTCCGAGGCACCCTGCCCTGAGCGCCCGTCCTGCCCCCAGCCCTGGCGGCGCTCACGGCCTGGCTCCGGCAGCGCTGGGCCTGCTTCCTGTGGCTCTCGGCGCTGGCGGCTGTTGTCTTCCGGGCCGAGCTGGGCCTCCTCCTGGGCCTCAAGCTGCTGCTGCCGCTGCTGGGCAGGAAGGTGCCCCTGGGGAGGGCGCTGCGCCACGCCGTCCCCGCTGGCGCCGTCTGTCTGGGTGAGTCCGCCACCTGCTTTCCTTCCAGAAGGGGACGAGAAGCGGGAGGTTTGTGTAGTTCACAAAGCACGGGCACTTTAACTCCGGGCAGCGGTGAGACGTAGCCCAGGTGCTCCCGTGCCCCTCTCGTCCTGCCTGGGGTCCCACCTGAGCCCCAGCCCTCACGATGCGGGCTGTTTGGGGAGGAGGGCTGGCCCTCATGAGGGAGGTTATTGGGGGGGCAGCCCTCACAGGGGGGGTAACTCAGTGGGGGGGCCCTCACAAGGGGCTTTACTGGGGGAGGTGGCGGCCCAGCAGCTCTGTCACCGTGATGCTGTGGTGATGCCCGCTTGTATGGCTCAGTGGCCGTGGTGACGAGGTCAGCGCCTCAGGGACATACGCCCATGACAGGGTGGCTAGTGACTCAGCCGTGGGGCCCGAGCTTCTTGGCAGCTGCGTTTCCTGCTGAGGGCAACTTCTGTGTTGTATTAGGACTGACGGTGGCCGTGGACTCATATTTTTGGCGGTATCCTGTGTGGCCAGAAGGAAAAGTTCTTTGGTACAATACCGTTCTGAACAAGAGCTCCAACTGGGGAGTATCCTTCAGTGCCCTTGGCTGTCCGTCCACGTGTCAGACCGTGTGTGTCTGTCCCCGTCTGTCTTACCTGTCAGTCGTCTTTCATCTGTCTGTCCATCTGTAAGAACGGGTGCCGCAGCAGGGTAGTCGGCCACGCCCCCAGTGCACGTGGGCCAAGCGGCTCCTCCATCGCCCGGGTCCCGCTGGGAGCCTCCTCCTGACCCTGTGGGACACCTGAGCACTACAGCCCCTCACTGCGGTCCGGGACCTGGTCTTTGCATGGGCGGGGTGTGGGGGCGGTGGAGTGAGAAGGACCGTCCGGTGCTGGGGCCTCCACGCACGTCAGGGGCGGCCTGAGGCTCCTGTGGTGTGCGGGGACAGTGGCCCGACAGCTGGGGCGGCCTGCCTCAGCCCACGTCCTCTGGCCCCTCCCCGCCGCCGGGGGCTGCCAGGGCCTCGGGGAGGCGGACGGGGCTTGAATCCGTGTAGACGCTCCTTAACCCGCAGACCTCCCCGTTCCTGTGGTACTTCTACTCGGCCCTGCCGCGCGCCCTGGGCAGCAGCCTGCTGTTCGTGCCGCTGGGCGCAGTGGACCGGCGGGCCCGTGCGCTCCTGCTGCCCAGCCTGGCCTTCGTGCTGCTGTACTCGCTCCTGCCGCACAAGGAGCTGCGCTTCATCATCTACAGCCTCCCGGTGTTCAACATCGCGGCCGCCCGCGGCTGCGCCTACCTGTGAGTGCGCCACGCTCGCAGGAGAACATGGCTCGGACGGTGGGGGGCGGGGCTCAGACAGCGGGGGGCGGGGGGAGCGCAGCTCAGATCTGGGGGCAAGACTCAGTCGGCAGTGAGGTTGGGCGCTCCCGGTCCAGCAGACCGAGTCCGCAACCTGTGCGCAACACCCTGTTCCTCCGGGAGGAGAGGCGTTCATAGGCAGCCCCCGCTCCGGGAGGCCCTGCAGGTGCAGCCTCCGGCTGAGGAAGGGAGCTGGGGGCAGGGGGCTGCGTCCGGACTGCACCTCTCTCAGGTGTGGACATGGGTGGAGGGAGCCAGTCATCTCTGCTCCTGCTTCTGAGACCCACGTGAGCGAGAGAAGGTTGCTTCGGCCACCTGCTTGGCCCCAGGGCCACGGGGTGATCACCCTGCCTGAACGCCCTGCACCAGGGCATCTGCCGCCTCCTGCAGCTGTGCCATCGGTCGCTGCTTCTCTTTGCTTCTGGCCCCCCTTTCGGCCGGCTGGGGGGTCTGGAGGGTGGTGGGGGCCCAGGTGTCCACCTGACCTCATGGGCCTGAGAGGGAGGAGGCCCGTCCATGAAACATTGAGCAGTCGGCCGTGAGTTGGGCGGAGGCGGCCACATGGCCTGTCGTGGCCCCTTGACACTGCCGGTCAGTGTGGGAGCAGCGAATGGGGGGCCGGGCTGGGTCTGGCGGCAGGTGGCTCTGATCTGCATGACGACCAGGGGAACGTTGGAAAACTTTGTATGAAAATCTGAAATGAATTTTAAATTGGGGTTCTGGGCGGCATTTCAGAGGTTTCCAGGCCCTGCGCACCCACCTGGTGGTGGACTTGTGCTCGCCGAGACCTGGGTCGACAGCAGGCGTGGTTTCTGGATGTCGTGGGCCCGGGGTCTCATCGCTGTGTGCTGTCCTCCAGGCTGAACAACTACAGGAAGTCCTGGCTGTGCAAAGCGGGCTCCCTCCTGGTGACAGCACACCTGGCTGTGAATGCCGCCTACGGGGCCACCTGCCTGTACGTGTCCCACTTCAACTACCCAGGTGGTGTTGCCATGCAGCAGCTCCACACGCTGGTGCCCCCAGACACGGGTAGGTGCCCCCGGACACGGGTAGGTGCCCCCGGACACGGGTAGGTTACCCAGACACGGGTAGGTGCCCCCGGCACAGATGGGTGCCCCCAGACACGGGTAGGTGCCCCCGGCACAGATGGGTGCCCCCAGACACGGGTAGGTGCCCCCGGCACAGGCAGGTGTCCCCCCCACAGGTAGGTGCCCCCTGCAAAAGTAGGTAGCCCCCTGTACAGGTAAGTGCCCCCCCACGGGTAGGTGCCCCCCCATGGGTAGGTGCCCCCCACATACATAGGTAGGTCCTACCCATATAGGTAGGCTCCCCCCCCACAGGCAGGTGCCCCCCACACACACGCACAGGTAGGCGCCCGCGTTGTATCCCGGCAGAAGAGCCTACCCGGGTCTGACGGCCCCGCCCCCTTCCCAGGTGTCGTCGTGCACATCGACGCTGCTGCTGCACAAACAGGTGTTTCTCGGTTCTTGGAGACCAACCCTGGCTGGAGGTAGGTGTCTGCTGTGCTCAGGTTTCTGTGGGTTTTGCCATGATGTGGCCACGGCTGTACGGCTCCTGACAGGTTTCCTCAGGGGTACCCGCTCCGGGGGGAGGGCGCCACGCTTTGGGGTCAGTGGGGTGGGGCCGCCGCAGGAACAGCCATGCTCGTGTCTGCAGATATGACAAGCGGGAGGACCTGCAGCCCGGGGCAGCGGGCATGCTGGCCTACACACACCTGCTCCTGGAGGCGGCCCCCGTGCCCTTGGCCCTGTACGGGGAGTCACACCGGGTGCTGGCCCGCGTGGCAGGCATCGGCGGCGTGCGTCTGAACCTGACCCGGCTGCCTCCCTTTGATGTCGACCTTCAGCCCAAACTGGTGCTCCTGGAGCGGGTGCAGGGGCCGTCCTGAGGGGGGGCCCCAGGGGGACCGGGGCCACCTGCCGTCTTGAGGGGGGCCCCAGGGGGACCGGGGCCGCCTGCCGTCTTGAGGAGGGGCCCCAGGGGGACCAGGGCTGTCCTGAGGAGGGGCCCCAGGGGGAGTAGGGCTGTCCTGAGGAGGGGCTCCGGGGGGACCAGGGCTGTCCTGAGGAGGGGCTCCGGGGGGACCAGGGCTGTCCTGAGGAGGGGCCCCAGGGGGAGTAGGGCTGTCCTGAGGAGGGACCCTGGGGGAACCAGGGCTGTCCTGAGGAGGGGCTCCGGGGGGACCAGGGCTGTCCTGAGCTCAGTCTCCTGGACAAACGGGCTTGTTGCTGTGGCCGCAATGAAGCTGATGTGGAGAACGATATCAGAGACCGTGGGCAGGCCTGTCCCCAGCAGTAGTCCCCACGTCCCCATGGGCCAGTCTCCTGACACCCAGGCCACTGCCGGCAGGCAACGCTGTGAGGCTGAGACCATCCGTGGGGTCGGCGGGACGGGGTGACATCATTTGTCACCCAGACCAGATGCTGGTCGCAACCATGCTGGACCCCGGCTGAGTAATGTGCAGACCTGACAAATGCGCTTGGGCTGCCGGCCGCTGCTGGCCCGGGCTGCCTGCTCCCACACGGCTGCAGAGTGTGGCCGCGGGTTTGCATCCGCCTGCATTTAGCTTACAGATCACATTTGGGGAGATAGACGAGTAAAACATGAAATGAGAATTAAATTTTTCAAGTATTTTTTTATGACGTGTCTTATGTGTGATTATTTCTGGGGACTGGCTTTACCTGGGTGATTTTGAAGCAGTAATTTCAGCACTATTACGCATTATTGGATGGGTATTGACAACTTATCTATAGTGCGTCTGATGCCGCTCCACGCACACGCCCACGCGATCTCTTCTGTGCCATTTGGGACAGAGCTGCTGACAGGTCTGTGTGGCTCTGAGCGGGGAGACCCCTTCCCACAGCCACAGCGTTGTGCTAGGCTCAGGGAGGCAACACTTGGGCAGCGTTTGTAGAGTCGCCTGTGTTCCCCTCCTGCTGGTCGACCCCCTTGTGTCCTTCATGGCGTTCTCTCTCCCAGGTCCAGGCAGTGTCAGCTGCTGCACGTTGTCACCACGTCTCTTTAGTCTCCTTCCATACAGAACATTCCATGGCCTTGCTCTGTCCCGTGTGACATCAGCGTTTTTGAGGAAAATAGCCTCCGTGCCCCGGTTATCCAGCAGAAGCCTCCTCGTGATCTTTCGGGTGGATTCCCAGAGGTGGGCAGAGCACGTGGCTGTGTCGCGCGTTCCCACGTGCCCTCCCTGGGGCTGGTGCATGTTGCGTCCCCCAGGCCGGCTGGTGGGGTCAAGCTTTCTCAGTTTTGCCAGTCGGGTGGGGGAGCAGGAGTATCTTGATGTCATTTTAATTTTCATTTTTCTTATGAGCAAAGTTGAATATTTTTCATAGGTTTAAAGACCAACTTTACATTTATTTTTGTGAATCGTTCATATATTTCGTTCATTTTTCTATTGGGTTTTTGGTCATTTTTTTCCCCTCAATTTATAAGAATGCTTTAATTATTCGGCGTTTTAGCCCCCTCATCTTAGATACGTGTTGAAGTAATTCCTCCCTGCTTGTCATTTCCCTTCGGACTTTGTCTGGTGTGTGTCTCTGTGCAGTGTTCGCCTCTTCTGGAGTCGAATGTGTCAATCTGTTCTTTTACTGCAGCTGAGATTTTAAATCTGGGTGAGAGAGTGGTTTGGCCATGTTATCTTTCAGTACTTCTGGGGCTTCGTTTTTCCGTTTAGATCTCTGATCCATTTAGAATTTACCTTTGTGTATAGTGTGGGGGCTGGATCTAACGTGGTTTCCACACGGGTCATCAGTTGTCCCTCCCTGCACCGTTTATGAAAAAGTCCATCTGCTCCAGTGACTTGAGAGGCCAGCTTCATCGTGGACTAAAGTTCCGTCTGCAGTTGGGTCTGTTCACGGACCTTCTCTCCTGTTCCGGCGGCTGGCCTGTCTGTCTAGGCACTGGTACCTGCACTTTCATGATATCGACTACTTAGTATGGTTTGATGTCTGGCGGGGGTGGTGGCCCCTCATGGCTCTTTTTTTTCAATATTGTCTTGGCTATTCTTGTATGTTTATTTTTCCACATGAACTTTAATATAACCTTACTAGCTCCAGTCCCTGGAGAAGGACATCATGCTTGGTAGAGTAGAGGGTCAGCGAAAAAGAGGAAGACCCCCCAACGAGATGGATTGACAGTGGGTGAGACAATGAGCTCAAGCATAACAAGGGTTGTGAGGAGGGCGCAGGACCGGGCAGGGTTTTGTTCTGTTGTCCACGGGGTCACTGTGTGTCGGAACCGACTCAACAGCACCTGACAACAACAACTTCGAAAATGGAGGAGACCTGAAGTGGCTGGCTGACACCCTTCAGTGAGCGTGCTTAGATTAAATGAGGGGGACAAAGGGGGATCCCCGCCGAAGAGATTCCTCTTTTCCTGATCGGTGTGGGGGAGAGAGGGTGCGGGAAGATACTGATAGGATTCTACGATTCAGTTGTGAGCATTGATTGTTAACAGGGTTAACGTGATTGTAAAAGTTGTAGGAGCTGTAAGTGTGAAACAGTGGACCAAGCCGGGAGGGTGGTGGGGAGAGGCACTGCTGGACTTGAGTACAGTGGCCGAGCCTGAAGTCCCTTAAAGGTTCTGCTATGCTGACACCTTGTGAGGCTCAGAGCAAGGGAATGATCTGCTCTCAGTGAAATTTTATCAGAGGCCACAAAGGACGAAGATGAGATGACTTCCGGAGAAGTTGACCCAGTCAGATGGACGGACGCCTGCAGGACCTGAATGGCTGGTACCTGAGTGATCTCACCCTGAGGACTCTTTGCCCTACTGAAGGACTAATTGTTAATGGCTGTTTTGGACTCTTAAAATGACTGGGAGGGGGAGGTTATCCCCCACGTGTGAAGGACCCATGGTGTGGCCATTCAGGTGGTGGTTGACTTGGATGGGCCAGGATTCTCAGTGGGTTGGCAGCTATGATGTAGTGTGGCGGTCCTATCGTCACGTGATCACATCCATGATGAGATTTGATATAACGTAATCACCTCCATGATGGGATCTGCTGTGAGGAGCCAGTTAGTTGAAAGGGAGTTTCCTTGGGGGTATGGCCTGCATGAAATATAAGCGGACTTTCCGGCAAAGCTCGTGGGCTTTTTGCTCGCTCTGGATCCTGCACTGGCTCCTGGTCATCTGACCTCCGGTTCTTGGGACTTGAGCTAGCAGCTTACCTGTGGTCTTGCCTGCCAATCTTGGGATTTGGCAGTCTTTGCAGCCTGTGAGCAAGAGCCCTGCTCCCTGACCTGCTGATCTTGGGTTCGCCAGCCCCTGTGGCTGCCGTGAATCAGGAGAAGACTCTATCCTGACCCAGACTTGGGACATTCCAGCCTCTACAATCATGTGAGCCATTTCTTTGATATAAAGCTCTCTATGTATTTATATGCTTTACTGGTGTTTCTTATCTAGAGAACCCAGCCTAAGATGCATGGCTAGAAAAGCCCAAGTGTGGCCTGCAGTGCGAAGGATAGCTTTTGTGTGGCCTCTCTTGCCATGGTCTTATCACTCCCACCCAAGTGATTTGGTGGGACTGTGCAAATAGGGCAATTGTGGCCCATCAAGGAGATTGGTCAGTTTTGCCATCCCGCTGAGCTTGGAATGAGCCATCCCAGGGACAAGAAAGAGAGGATCCCACCACCACCAAGGAAGAAGGGCCAAGAGCAGAACATGTCTTTTGGACCCAGAATCCCTGTGCTGAGAAACTCCTGGAGCCAGGAGACTGGGGGGGGGGGGAGAGAGAGAGGCTTGCCGTTTGGTGAAGCTAGGTTTGCAGAACCATAGAGCTAGAGGTGAGCACCTTTAGGACAAGGCTTGCTGGAGGAGTGGGGTGCCTTGGGGTACTTATCAGCAGAGCTAAAAGAGCTTAGTAACACTTGCCCGAGCAGGGCAGAGGCCGAGGGGCCAGAGAGAGGGTTGCCTGTGGGCACAGCTGAAAAGAGGTTGTCCTGATGGAAGAACTGTATCCTGAGTGTACCTGAACCTGAATCGTAACCTGTTATTTCCCTAATAAACCCCATAATCATGAGTATGGTTTGTGAGTTTGGTGTGGCCATTGCAATGAATCATTGAACCCAGCAGAGAAGTAGAGCGTGCCGTGGGAGGGATGGCTGGTGTCAGAATTGGTAAAGATGGCAGAGAGAGGAGGCATGTCTGACCCCGGCCTCGTAGGAATTAGCCTTGGGCTGTTGATCTTGATTCTCCTTCCGCCTCGTGAAGTTAGAGGAGGTCAGACGCCGCTCCTGCCACGCCATTGTTACAGACCTTCCTTGGAAAAAAGGTCTTTTCAGGTGTATTGAGGTAAGGATCTCGAGATGAGATCATCCTGGATTCCCCAGGTGGGCCCTAAATCCAATGACTGGTGTCCTGATACGAGACAGAAGACGCAGGCAGTGAAGAGGAAAAGGTGATGTGACTATAGGAGGCAGAGATTGGAGTGAGACTCCCACACCCAAGGAATGTCTGGGGTCACCAGGAGCTACAAGAGGCAGAAAAAGGATCCTCCCCTAGAGCCTCTGGAGGGAGTACAGTCCTGACATACCTTGATTTTGGGCTTCTGGCTTCCAGAACTGTTTTCTGCCTCCAGGTCTGTGGTATTTTGTTATGGCAGCCATAGGAAATTAATACAAGGGGGTTTGAATATACATTATTAACTTTATTACTAAGAGTTCTGTCATATGCTTGCTTTTGTAAATGGGGTTTTCTTATTAATTTTATCTTCTAACTGGCTATAAGTTCTGTGTATGACTGTTCTTGATTTTTCCTACTGTTTTGTTTATGGAAGTTTGTGAAGCATTTACATATACTAAAATTCACCCAATTTAAGTATGCAGTTTGATGGCGTTTGGTAATTGTATACAACTGTGTGACCTGCACCAAAATTAAAATACAAAATAGTTCCCTGTGCCTTTTTGTACCTGATCCTTTCCCCTGTCCTGAGGCAACCACTGATTACCTCTC